AGTGCTCCAGTCTCTATCCGTGGAGGTTTTTCGGGACACTGACCTATCTAGCATAGGCAATAGTCCTGCACTGAGTGGGAGACTGGACTAGAGCCCCCTTCCAGTAAGCATTTTCGTGATCTAGGAAGCTTCATAAAATACAAGCAATGGGTGAGAAAAGCTCTCAACCAGAATCCCTTTCTGAAATAGAATTTTTTTTCTAGGAGAAAAGAAAAAAATGGTCTTAATATACTGTATTTAGGTGCCCTTCTCAGGAAGAACTTACAATCTCTAACTTTACTATTTTTCACCTTCAGAATAAACCCTAAACTAGGATGATCCTCAAAAAAAAAACAAAACAAAACAAACCCCACCACTATCCTATACCCATTCGTAGCACCTAAAACCGACGCGGTTGTCAAAACAGACACTGCTAGCAGACTCAGCCAAATCCTGTCGGCTGAGGAATGGAGGTTTAGTTGCTGGTTCTGTCATTTATACGTCCAGCTACAAAGAAAGGAGACCTGACACAGCAACGGGAAGGCGCATGTGTTGGATTCACCTGGTCACGCTGCTCTGCCTTTGGCTTGGCTTATACAGATCAGAATTAAAACATTAAATATACAAAGAAAAACAAGCTTATTAACTCGTAAGGATCAGTTACATGGGCTGTTGAAGCTTTCCTTGTGAAAAAGATTGCGTTTGCAAAAAGTACTGCCTGCCTCTAACCCTTTTGACAGAAAATTCCGTTTTTCTGCAATCCCTGCCCTATTGCATGTTAGACACTCAAGTACTTGAACATAATGTTTATTTTCAACACCAGTACTGTGTCCTTCTCAAATACATTGAAATAAAGGTCCTTTCTGTCATTTCTCTTTTCAGGTACAATACTTGTGGCTTTTATATGGGATGAAATCCTTCCTCGGATATCCTGAAACATCAAATCCTGAAACCTAGCAGCACTACATTAAAAAATACTTTCAGCACCTGCAGACACGAAGCTTTCAGAACTCTGTTGACATGGACTTCCACGCCACCTTTCAGTTGTATTTTCAGATTTCATGTTTGAAATATTTGACTTACAACTTTGTACTCAAATACTTATTTTGTAATAGCATATTGGGATTTTGAGAATATCCGCTGACGTTTTCAGTTTAGCCGTATGAATGTGAAGGACTGTTAAAACATTGAAACTTTGTCACTTTAGCCATAAGTGCCATTTGCTGACCTTTATTACAACAGCATGCAAAACTAATTTTAGAGAAACACCCAGTCCTTTCCAGGTTTGATTTTATTGGATTTCTTCCCATAGAAGGCACCTGCCAAAAAAGGAGCGGAAGATTTCATTCTTATAGTGACCTCATCATATTCCTACTTGCAATACCCGTACCTCCGAGAGGAAGAAAGGCTACACTGCTCCCTAGAAGAGTCTCCACAGCTCTATTCTAGAGGTATCCTACACCAAAAGTAAAAGTCTGTAGGACCAGCATTGTTTTAATAATACCCGAGCGCAGGTAAGTAACCCCTCGCTTCCTTTCCAGAAGGCTCTGCCCCGTCCCGTCTCACTGTAGTCTGTTGAGTTCGTCTTGGGTGGAAAGAGCGGTAATTAAGTACCATAAAATTCTGCTGTCACACACATAAAAGTGCATTTTAGGCAAAAAAAACCCCGACCTACTTTATCTGAGATTACTGCTGCCTCTTCGCATAGTAAAATATACACAATGTATAGGGATGAATCATGTGGAACTTGATTTTATGTAACTCTTACCAGACGTTTTTCTTGAAATAAATGAATTTGCAATATAAGAGAATAAATAAAAGAGCTGAAACCACAGGAAAGCTGCATCCCTGCACTGGCACAAACGCGCCCTTTATAGCATTAGCTGAGGCGAAGAGCACCGATAGGTACCATCCTCTGAAGTTCTGTTTCTAGAATGAGGTTTCTTCTTCTGGATGCCTCCTCGTTTTTATATATACCAAAATACATTTTTCAAATTTAAGACTAAATTCAGTTTTTCACTTTGTAGTTACTAGCTTTGAAAGGAGAGATGATTAACTGCTTCTACGAAGATCTCAGTAGTAGGCCCCTCGACTCACTACCCAAGTCACCTTGCAGACCGTATTCTAAGAGAAAGAGAGGGAATCGGGTTTTCTTTTACACGGTAAAATTATGAACCAAGTCTTAAACAGCTACTGTTGTCAGCTATCTTTTTTGCAAGAGTTCGGGAAGTCAATATTTTCATGTAATTTCTTACTTGTTGCAATAAAATCTTTTCTTGTTTTAATTTTCCAAGGTACCTTTAAGATTATATTGCAAAATGAAATCAACTGTTTGAAAATGCTTTTCATAGAAGAGAGTCTTATCCACGACCCTGTATTCAGTCATTAAAATAAAAAAATAGCCTGCCAATACACCGAAGAGAACTGGAACGGCTGGGCTATCGCTCAGCAGCTCTCTGACACTAGTGCAAACTTATCTTTGGTAAAACTCTTCACGGCCAGCACTGCACAGCACCGCGCTGCGAGCCCGATAAGATGCGAGCCTTTAGCTGCTTTTAGTTATCCGCTTGTTTACAACTCGGCCACGGAGGGCTGCTAGGACAGAAACCCGATGCACGAGACCTCTGAAAAACATTTATACTACTTACTGCTTCTAAAACAGATGCTTTGGGAGGCTTCCACCTGCCACTTTCTTGCTTTTTATCCCTTTTACCCTTTTTTAAAGTGAACCACCCCTTATAGATTATTTTTTTTTCTCCCTGGGACTTTGCCTTTACTGGTGTACTCAAGCCCAGTTTTTAGCCTCATTTCTTATGGAAAGGAGCCTTACATAATGAACTGATTTGCATGTCTTCTTCGAGCTCATGAGGCCCACAGGGTAAAGGTCTCAAAAATAAACCTCAAAGAGCATAAAAACAGGCAGCCAGGGAAAAGAGAAAGCAGAGCTACAAACCTACAGGCAACCAAGATTTGTCAGATGAGCGGCCCTACTTCCACGTCATTTTTGACAGCCTGCAAATGCAAAGTCCATAAAGCAGAGGTCAGATCTGACTTCTGCAGGTCTACTTTGTTTAGTTTGGCATAGCATATAGTTTAAAAAAAACTGGTACAGATCTGGGTGATGAACAAGTAGTTGCTCTATTTATGGCCACTAGCAGTAGAATTTAAATTAAATCACTAAGAAATGGAGAAGCCTTAAATTGACTAAATGAAGGCAAAGAAAAGCAAAAAAAAAAAAGTAGCAGAAAGAATGAAAACTAAAACTGTTAGGAACTGAAGAATTTAACTGGTTTTGGTAGTACAGACAAAAATCAGTATTGTACATTCAAAGTAACGAATGCTTATGAAGTATAAGTGTTCCCAGAACACTTACACATAGCTTAAATATAAAGTTTTATTACAAATAAAACTTGTAAATCCACACAGGACACTTCTCAACGCTACCTTCAGGGCTCATCCAGGTTTGTTTGCACCTGACCAAAATGGATTGCTCCCTTGATTTGACTGGAAGCATCATAAAATGTCTGCTCCGGGAGCTCTGCGTTAGTACAAAATAAACGATCCCTCTGGAGCTTCCTACTGCTCCGACATGGTGTGGGAGTACTGGGAGGGGCTGAGGTCAGTCCAGCTGCCCCGTAGGTTAAACCGTGCCCATCTGCCCGGACAGGTACCAGGTAGCCTGCAGTTTAATATGAAAAACAATAGAAAGACCACACTCTTAACAACTAACATTTACATCAAAAAAAAAAAAAACCAAACCAAAACACAGTCTGTTTTAACGAAGAACGGTGATTTAGAATTGCATGAGCTTTCTCTTCTAAACTGTGGTGCTTGCTGGAGTTTAAGGACTCCTTCGCTGTCCCGAATCCTCACCATGTGAAGATTCTTCCAAATCCCAGTGCAAAAACTAACGCATGGCTCTGTGCCCTCCTTTGTTACTCTGTATCCCTAACAAAAACGTGCACATATTTACATAAATATATATACAAATGCGCCTAGAGGGGCTAGGAAAGACGTTCTTGTAGAATGTCTCGTTGCATAACGCGCCAAATACTTCATTTATTCAGCAGCATCAATAGTTCACACCCCTATGAAATCATTGCTCATTTGACTGGCATTCCTAATGAGTATTCAGCAAAGAGGGGTTCTAATTTTCACGTACCTTGAAACCAAACCATCTCCCGATGTGCTAAGCAGGGCAGGACCACTCGGTCCTACCCCGAGAGTGGAGGACCGGTAGAGAAAACTGTTCATGTACCAACCTAATTGTACTGAAAATAATTCACAAATCAGCTTCAAATCAAATGAAAGTGGAACAAGTTCAGTATCAGACTTTCATTTGAATATTGGAGGGGGGGG